GGCTTCCGAGCGAGCGAAGACAGTGCATGCCTCAGACCGCTCGGCTACCGTGACCGGCTCCGTAGACACATACATATATATATATATATATATTATACTACTGATTCAATGGAACATTTCTCAGCAAATATAACTTTCCCTGCAGTTGATGCAGTTTCCTGACATGTACTCATATGGCAGTCCCACTATTTATCTAGGTTCCTCTTCGTAAGAAAATTATCTGACTCATCTGGTTCAACCTTCTCCACTTCCTTCCTTCCATTCATTAGGGGTAACAGACTCGCCTTCTTCATATTGGTTTCTTGCTGGGTTTACTTTTCGACCCTGAAGATGGAGGATACAAATTCCTCTGAAAAGCCTAAATTTCAAGTGGCCACAAGCCGTTATAGCCCAGACGACAGACCTCTTCAGAATCGAAGCTGAGAGCCTCAACTCCTATAAATGGAAATAGTTTCGGAGAGGAATTAATTAGATATATATGAATATACACGTATCTATCTATCTAGGGCATTACAGCTCTTTGTTGGATCTTGGCTGCTTTTTTCAGTTTCTTAATTCTATACACGGTCGATAGGGTTCCTTGGTTGGGGGACCAGGCCATCGCAAGGCCGCTACCTAGACACGGAACAACACAAACACTGAATAAACAACACAGACATGCATGCCTCGAGTGGGATTCGAACACACGATCACAGCGCTTGAGCGGGCGAAGACAGTTCATGCCTTAGTCCTCGCGGCCACTTGGATCAGTGTACGAATATTTCATATTATGCATATTTTAAATAAGAAAATATTTGGAAAACAGATAGGCCAATATTCAAAGGTAAAAGAATGTTTAGCTTATTTAACTCATAGTTGTACTTCCATTCCCGCTATTCTGTATATTTAACTGCATCGTGAGATATAGAATTTTGACTTTTTTTTTTACTTCATGCATGGTTTCCTCGGTAACATTAATTAAGCAGGAGAAAACAGCAACTGTAAACTTTATAAGTTCTGGACTAGGAGGAAGGCAAATAATGGAATGAATAACAAAATAATTAGGATGTGAATGATTGAACTAAATTAAAGTGGTTCAGAATGGGGTCCAGGGTTGGGCCCTTTAAAACAAGACGACGATCCTTCGGGTTTGATAAAAGACGGAAAATTTGTTGACTAACTTCTCTATAAAGGCTCTGATTTATTTATGACTTGAGTATTATAAAATAGTTGGTAAATTTTGGAAGAAAGGGAAGGTAGAACTGGTAAGTCAAGTTCGTTTTGAGCTCTAATTACTCGTGTAAAAGCCCTGCATCACGAGGCTTCATCATCAGACCAACAACCTCTACCAAATTTTCAAGGATTCAGTTCAGTTTATGGTTCCTTCTCTCAGACCGTAATAATCCAAAATATCCAAAACATGTGGTGACATACAGAGTGACTCTATGATGACGTGTAAAGTCAGATAATGTAAAGTTGTCCCTGTGCTTAACTAATTAAGCACTATGCCTTGAAAGAGTATGGAGAGTGGCTATATAGATCCACATTTTCTTGACCTCGACACTACTCGGAGGTTAGTGGTCAGCTTCACGCCCCCGCCTCTTTACTCCCAGGAAAAGAGCCCTCGGTACCCATTGGATAGGAGTTTGGATGGACCCGAGAGCCGGTTTGGACGACTTGGAGAAGAGAAAATTCTTGACCCTACTGGTACTCGAACTCCGATCCTTCAGTCGTCCAGAACGTATCCAGTCGTTATACCGACTGAGCTATCCCGCCTTCCTCGTGTAATACCAGTCAGTTGATAAAACGACTTGGTCAAGAAGTTTCGCTCGTTGGGGAAAGGAGGAAGAACGTGCTTCATGCACAACTGCCCGTTGGGAACAATGAGAGAAGGTACTTATCACCAGCATGGCCTATAGAAGAACTAAAAGATCATATTTAACACACACGTTACAAGTTACGAGTTGCCGCCGGCTCTCTCTGTCTTGTACACGAATCGTCCATAAGATTCATACAGACCGGGTAAGTCATTTATAAAAGGCAAATTTATCCTTTGGTTTAATTTATTAAGCACCACGCAATGAAGATGCATGGGTGAGTGAAGTTATGGCTCCGTCATTCTTAACTTCGGCACTAGATACAAGCGAGCGATCAGATTGAAGTCCAGGCCGCTTTACTCCGGCGAAAAAGCACCCCCACCCCCGCGCACTTATTGTGTACTAGGATACGTAGGTCAGAGCAGGTCTAGACACTATGGAGAAGAGAAAAATCCCGATCTCTCGGCCGTTCAGCCTGTAACCTAGTCACTATGTAGTGGATATTATTGTCCTCAAGGCACTTAAGATCTCGTCTTCTACCTAGACGACATAAAATTAAAATGGGCCTATAAAACTGAGAT